TCACCATTGGATTCCTCTTGTGAAATCTAGTTACCTAGTCAATTTTCGTCGAATTCTGATCAGTCAATTTTTTTGCGTTTTACAAGGAGATCGAGTATCTCATGACCTAAAAACGAGATATGAAATAAAATTTTAAAATTTGAAAAATAATTTAAAGGAATTTCATATAAAAATATTTAGAACTTGAACGGAGACGAAATTTAATCGTTTCGGGATAAAACTGGACTTGAGAATGGAGGACGCATGTCGCAACGAGAGCCAAACATTCCAAGGGGTATAAATAGGGGAGAAAATCAATTTTTCTCCCCAAAATTCTGCTAGGTTTCGTTGTAGAGAGGAAGAGAGGGAAAAAGAGAAAAACTCAAACTTTTCTCTACGATCTAAGGAGTTCCTTTGGTCAGAATCTTTCGAGTCAAATATTAAAGTTGATCTACATGACAAGGGCTACACTTTCATATCAAAAAGGACGAATTTCACCAAAATTTTCGAGACGAGATTTTGGAAAATCAAGGGTTTGATCTTGGGTTGTATTCTTGAAGGTTCTATTGTTGCTTTTACGCTTCAAGAGGTAGAGTTTTCTCCCTAATTAGGCTTATTTCCAACCTAGGAGGATTATATGGAATGGGTAGGGTGTTAGAGGTATATAATACTTACCTATTGTTGTTAATTTGATGAAATGAGTATTGAAAATGGGTAAAATCAATTCTAGCTTAAATTGGTATTTAAAAATTGCTAGCTTGTAATTTTTTTGAAAAATTGTGATATGTGGGCATACTATGTGTTTATATTATGCATTGGAGAATTAAGTGTGTTAATTGCAAGAGATTATGTGATAATATGCTTGAAAATTGTTATTGGGTATAAGGTTGATATATGCTTGGTGATGTATTGACATTAAGATGATTTATAGTAATTATACGCATATGATATAATTAACCATGAAATATGTTGAAATGTGATTGAAATGGTTCATATGACACTCATAACATATTAAACATGAAATTAGTGTGGCAATTGTACATTTACATTGCATATGCACGGGTAGAATCACATTCGTGGGTGTTTGACATGAGTGTGAGTGTGTGTGAATGGTTAATCAAACACCATTCTTGGTGGATGATTCGTGAGTTTGGGATAATTGGACCAAGGTTTGACTAAGTCGCACGGTTTGCATTGAAAATTAGGTCGAGGTTAGCAAGAAGGACTAGATTATCCCTTGGGTGCAAGATTCGGTGATTCGGATATGCATGCCGTTGGTATTGAGTCCATAAAGTGTGTTGGCGTACACGTAGCCGTTACTGGAAGTCTATTAATGCTGTGTTGGTTGGGTGTACATTGGTGTGAGTCCATAAATACCCACCCTAAGAAAGACCCCGAAAATTTTAAATAGTCATTGGATGTGTAACATCAATGGCGGGGGCTTGGAATACCCAAAGATCATACATATGGCATTTGCATGTGTTGAGAGAGCCGTTGAAGACTCGGGTTGAAGTGCATGAGTGAGTCTCATCTCATTACATGACATGACATAGCATGATAATTTCTAACATTGAATTGTGTAATCTTGATTGGAATGTTTGTTGGTTGTTGAATGTTGCGTGTGAACATTTCATATGCATTTAGGTTGGGGAGTAACCTCTTTAAAAGATACTCTATTGAGCGTAACTTATCTTTTATGGGGACAACATTTTAGGTGCGGGATATGCGCCGGTGGACAACTCTTAATCGGGCTCTCATGATTGAAAAAAAGCCGAGATGTGACTTTTGAAACATGTTTTGTAAAAACGTTTATGTTATTTAGTTTTGGGTATGTGATATTGTAAATGATTGTAAAGTAAATTGTATTTTGTTTAAAATTGATGTTATATGAGTTTGATATAATGTTGTATAAGTTTGGAATGAATTAGAATTAAAAAAGGAAGGAATCGTAGAAAAACTGGTAAGACCTACCAGTAGAACGATGAGTTCTTCTACCAGTAGAACTTTTCCAGTAGGTTAAGCTTACTGGTATAACTCTTTCAAAAGGTTTTTCTACCGGTAAAACTTTTTTAGAAGGTTTTCCTACCGGTCGAACATGGTCATCTTCTACTGGTAAGTTTTCCTGAAATTTCAAATTCTAAGAAAACTTTTGTTATGCTTTCGGGTCTTGGATTTTTTTGTTTAAATGGTACAAATAGACAATAAATGAGAGTAAATTGATGTCTATTGGACATTGGATGAGTCATGTGATTGAATGATATATAGGTTATGTGTTTGGCAGTGCCCGGTACAATGGAGACTTTGCTCAAACTGTGTTGTTGTGATCCTAGTAAAGGAAATGTTGTGCCATGATGTCGGGTTATGCAACATTTACGGGAATTTCTACGGGTTGATGGGTGATCAACGAGTTCAGAAATGACCCTTGGTTTTAGGAGCATCACAACTACCACAACCCATCACCACCTGTTGTCGCCAACCACTGTCACCCATTCCTACCACCACCAACCCACCACTTCCTGTCGTCGTCCACCATTGTCGCCAACCATTATCGTCCACTCCCACCACACCTACCATCACTGCTATTCGCCACCATCCATCATACTGTCACCCACAAACACCCATCGTCACCTACCACCACCATTATCGCCGCCCACTACCACTATTGTTGCCCCCACCACCTCCACCACCAACCACCATCATCGTCGCTCACCACCACCACCGCTATCACCCACCACCACCGTCACCGCTATCACCCACCACCATCACCACCCATGGATGTCATTGCCACCATCGTCACCAAAAACACATCATCACCATCACCGTTGCCATTCACCACAACTATTACCGTTTTTCATCACCACCACCACCACTGTCACCCACCACCACCACCACTATAATCGATGTTTAAATTTCTTTCTCTCTCATTTATATTTGTGATTTAATTTTTGATTTGAATATAAATATGTTTATTATTAACTATTTTTTTTATTACTTAATGCCTTCAAACAGGGGCAATAACTAGTATATAAATAAAGTGCCGATTTTTATATCATACTAGATCGTTAAGTATAATTTACCCAAAAGATAAAGACATGTCATTAGCTAGCTAGTCCAGTGGTGAAAATTATGTTTTTTTTTTAATATATAACGGGAAATCATTAGTTTTTTTTTTTTGTATTTTTGGGAGAGGAACTTGAACTTTTGACCTTAATGTTTTCATCAGGTAAGGAGTACTATTGAACCACAGACTCATTGGTAACGAAAAATTCTGAAAGCCCACCGAGTAAATATTCAGTGCGATAGTAACACCATATTATCAATATTACTTGTTGTCACTATTCGATAAAAATATAATAAAAAGTAGATCTTATTTGTTTATATGAGATAGTTACCGAATAACATGGAGCGCGTGATTACTAAATATGTAGGATTTTGTTTCTCACTTGTTATGTTCTTATAAGATTGTAACACCACGTGACGACGATGACGTGGTGTCACAATTCTAATAAATATTTTCTCATCAATCATATATTAATCACAAGTATTGATAAGAATTGAGTCATAAAAAAATTTCGCATCTAAAATATTTGAGATTACAATTCATTCTAAATTCAACCCCACATTATGGGCTAGTGGTGGAGCTAGATTGTTTGCTGAGGGGAGTGACGCAATAAGGAACTTGTAGTTGAATAAAACATAATAAAATCAACGTTCATACGATACATTGTAGTATTATTTATTTTTAGTAAAATTAAGAAAATTAAAATAAACTTATCATACTAAGTAAATGTAATACAAGTTCAAATCAATTCATCAAACAATCAACAATTTAAACTTAATTTTATAATCACCTAAGGAAAACTAACTTTCATTATATCTCTGCAAATTATAAAAAGTCAAATAAAAAAGAAAAGAAAGGATGTGTAGATCTCCCAATTATACATATTTTATATGACATTGAATCGTATATATGTAGAGTTTGTGTAAATTATACTTTCTCAAGTAGAACTATGACCCCAATAACAATTTATTCATCAACTATTGGTTTAAACATGTTGGAACCAAAAAAATATTCTAGTAGATTATTTGTCTTAAATTTAACAACTTAGGCAACATTAAATTTAGCAAGTTATACAAAAAATACAAATTAGAGTAATTAATGTTGCAAATCATTCAAATCAGTAATCAAGAGATAAAGAAAATCATGATCATGATCATTATCTATATCCAAATAAAATAAAATAAAAAATATAAGCTCAAAGGTATAAAGAGTAATTTTAAAAATTTGGGAGGGGAGACTACATAATTTTAAAGGTAATTATGGAAACTTGAGGGGGGCCATGGACATAACATGGAGGGGGCATAAACATGACAGTGGTTTCTTTCCCTGTACCGCTGGGCTNTATAAAGAGTAATTTTAAAAATTTGGAAGGGGAGACTAACATAATTTTAAAGGTAATTATGGAAACTTGAGGGGGGCCATGGGCATAACATGGAGGGGGCATAAACATGACAGTGGTTTCTTTCCCTGTACCGCTGGGCTGGTCTTTGGCTCGCAGTTAACCGTAACGCTTAAGCATATCACTTGGACAAGCCAAGTTAGCCAGCAATTAAAATCCTATTCTACACAGCTAAGAACAAACTTCAATACCAAATCTTTGTTAACTGATATTTTTCTCATTGGTCAGCCATTTTCTACAACTACCCCGCCACCAGCTGACAAGTAACAATAGCAGACGACGACTTTCTGTACCTGCCACCTCCTCCTTCTTTTCCATACATAAATATATATGCTATACACATACAAATAATCCCAACACAGAGAGATAGAGATAGAGATAGAGAGAGATGGGTTGTGGGAATTTCTTCTTCACCCTTGNCCAAGTAACAATAGCAGACGACGACTTTCTGTACCTGCCACCTCCTCCTTCTTTTCCATACATAAACATATATGCTATACACATACAAATAATCCCAACACAGAGAGATAGAGATAGAGATAGAGATAGAGATAGAGAGAGATGGGTTGTGGGAATTTCTTCTTCACCCTTGTGATAACCTTCTCAGCAGCTCTCATCACATACAACATAATCATCTCAGCCAATGCATCTCTCAAACAAGACTTCCCTGGTCCATCAATCCTATCAACATCAAAAGGGTCGATCTCAGTTGACCCAATAATCAAGATGCCAGTGGATAGATCGAAAACCAGTTCATCCAAAGGGAAGAGATTGTTCCACACAGCAGTCACATCATCTGACTCAATCTACAATACATGGCAGTGTAGGATCATGTACTACTGGTTCAAGAAGTTCAAAGATGGACCCAATTCTGAGATGGGTGGGTTCACAAGGATACTGCACTCTGGCAAGCCTGACAAGTTCATGGGTGAGATCCCCACCTTTGTTGCTCAGCCACTTCCAGCTGGAACGGATCAGGTATTGGTTATGTTCCTGGATTTCTTTTAGTTGTTTCAATTTCGTTCTTGAGCATTGAAATTCAGATGAATTTTTGCTATAGTTCACCATCTTAGGAAACTGTTGTTATGTGTTTGTGTATATGTTTGAATCACCGCAAATTGGCAAAACTTGAGAAGCTCTAGCACAAAATCAACTGAGTATCAATCTTTTTTTTTTTGGGTTTCCTTGGTTTTTTGCATTTTCACAATTGATGCTGTTGAAATTGTTGAAAACTTCGAAAGGGTTCTTAGGAGAACATCAATTTATATTTCGATATCAAGTCAAAGGCTGTGTTTGTTACCGTACAAATCAGGGTATATTTTCGCTGAGTTAAAATTTCTTTGGGTACCAAATGGTGGGTACACAGTACACACTATTAGTGTGCACAATGTCGTGCCAGTTACATTATTTGTAAGGGAGTGCCGTGAGAAAGCAGTAATTTTTTGGAATTGAAATGAAAGATATACCCGGGTAACATCTGCAATTATGATTCCGCATAGAAGCTAACATTATCGCGGGTGTATTATTGTCGAAGCCATAATTTTTATATGAGGAGGAGAAGGTGGTATGGTAAACCCAAGATTCCCACCGATCGATTTCAGAGTTTTCAACCACTGAACTTGCTTATGTTCCCCTTTGATCGAGTGCTATTTCTATAATCAATATTGAGTAAGAAAATCTTGAATTGGCTTCAATCGAGATTGCCTTAGCTTCTTAGGCACATGAGGAACCGGCCTAACATCTTTTCAACTGAAATTCCAATCAAAGACAAGTTCTGGAGTGCCTGCCAAGGGTAATGCATACCCCGGGGTGATCATCATCACCTGCACCTCACATCTCAGCACAGTGGAACATGTAACTGCCTTCTATTCTATTCAATTACATTTGTTCCTGTAATCCATAGTTTAACATGACGCAACAGCAAGGGACAAACCGCCCATACAACCAGCAAGGAGGATGGCACTACTTGCAAAGACCATTTTGCGAAAACGTCGCAGGCGTGAGGCATGGTAGGCTTGTACCGGGGGAGCATAGCATAGGGGAGAAAGGGAGCCCGGACAGTGAAAGAGCCAAGGGAGGCCAGGTCATTTGACGGAAATGGGATAGATAGAGAAATATTCTTGGTCAAACAAATGCAAATTTTCTTTGGGTGAAATCATTAAAGAAATACTGTTACATTCTATTTATATTTTATAAGTGAATGCATAAGTGTAAAATATATAGGAGAAGTGGATAATCTTGGTACTGGTCCAAGACTACTAAAGGAATCTCAATCTTCTGTTTGTCACAACATAAGAAGCGTTTGCAGATAATACAAAGCATGGCAGCTGCTGTAGTAGTTGCACTTTCGAAGCTTGTAGAAAAGAATACCATGCATTGATGGGTGATGAGGACCCATACTGATTGATTTTGTTGCATTCCCCAAAGATGCCAGACATTATCATTGGCTATGTAGTTTATATGAACTCGTAAGGGTTTCTTAGGTATTTACTCCCTCAAAGGACGTAGAAGCCTTCATCTTTGGACGAAACTAATGTAGACTGGTTGAATTTGGAAAGTCTCCCTAATTGTGAGGAAGAAAATGATCATGTACTGGATTATGTAATTGCATCTGTTTTTGCTGATTATGGCAGTAATTACTGGTTCTTTTACTGCATAACCTAATTTCCCTCGTTATCTCATTTTTGCAAATTGTAATTGCAGGGGTATATAGTCCTCAATAGGCCTTGGGCGTTTGTGCAATGGCTTCAACAAGCAGACATTAAAGAAGAGTATGGGAACCGTTAATATGTAGTTTAAGGTCATCATGACTTGATTTCTGCACTTCAGTACAATTCTGTATTCTGACAACACTTCCCCCCTGGTGTGCAGCTACATATTGATGGCAGAGCCAGATCATATTATTGTCAAGCCCATACCAAACTTATCTAGAGATGGCCTTGGAGCTGCATTCCCTTTCTTTTACATTGAACCTAAAAAGTATGAGTCCGTCCTTAGAAAGTTTTTTCCTGAGGAAAAGGGACCAATAAGCAGCATTGATCCAATAGGAAATTCTCCTGTTATCGTAGGAAAGGTACTTTATATGCCTTCTATGAGGATTATTAGTGGAAATTGTATCCTCTTCTCTTTGCTAGTGATTTCGGCACGCTCTTATTTTTCTGAAATTGTGTTAGGAGTCTTTGAAAAACATAGCTCCCACTTGGATGAATATATCCTTGGCAATGAAGAAAGATCCTGTAACTGATAAAGCTTTCGGTTGGGTCCTTGAGATGTAATTAGCCTACACTCTATTAACCTTCATTGTAAGTTTTCATCTCTGTAATTTTTTTTATCCTAACTATGTGTAGGTATGCTTATGCCGTTTCATCTGCTTTGCATGGTGTGGGTAACATCTTATACAAGGACTTCATGATTCAGGTTTGGTAAATTGATTATTTATTCATTTCTTATTTCCTTGGGCATAGTCAGATACCAATGGGAATTTACAGAACATGGTCATTACAGGAAATATGAACTGCATCTGGGTCTAGTACCCAGACATAACACCCAAACAGAATTTATGGATTGTTTTGAAGGCCCCTCTACGCAACCTTTTATTCAGTGTAGCATGATTTGTTCACGGCATATAATGAAAATAACTAATTATATGGTTTTCGGAAAATGAATAATTAAGTAAACATTTGCCAGAGTAAACCAAGATTGTAGCCAGACTNCGTGGGTAACATCTTATACAAGGACTTCATGATTCAGGTTTGGTAAATTGATTATTTATTCATTTCTTATTTCCTTGGGCATAGTAAGATACCAATGGGAATTTACAGAACATGGTCATTACAGGAAATATGAACTGCATCTGGGTCTAGTACCCAGACATAGCACCCAAACAGAATTTATGGATTGTTTTGAAGGCCCCTCTATGCAACCTTTTATTCAGTGTAGCATGATTTGTTCACGGCATATAATGAAAAAAACTAATTATATGGTTTTTGGAAAATGAATAATTAAGTAAACATTTGCCAGAGTAAACCAAGATTGTAGCCAGACTTCACACTAGCACACCCCACTCCTAACTCATAAGAAATCAAGCCCAAAACAAAGGCTAGCGAGTTGTGACAGTAAGCTATTTCTATTTCATCTTTGATTCCGTACTACTTTCGGTATTTTTAACTTCGTGGTTTCTTTGGTGAAGTTTTCATAAAACATTCATGGTATTTTCCCTTTCAAGCCACAACTCCATAATTGCCAAGTCGTGATTGGTATCTGTCGGGTTGAGTAATCTAACCATCCCTTTGATTAAAATTTTTGTAAGCATCTTGTCAAATAAACCAAAGAAAGCCTAGTCCCAATTATGTTGGGTTGGCTAGATGAATCTTTTATAGTACAAATGCAAACTTAATCTGTTGATAATTAAGTGCTCTTCATTATGTGTTCTATGTGAAACTACATCATTTTTTGCTCTCTCACTCCATGGTAATTTTGGTCCACCCCTTCCTCCAGCAATTCCACTAATTGTAATCATGTTATTCTTCCACATTGATGCACTTATTGTCTTCATTATACATGCCTAAATCATATTAATTGGTTCTCTTGTAATTAATCTTTAGTTAGTACTTCTCTATCATCTTCTGAACGCAATTATTTCTGCTTCTATCTTTTCTTATGTTATCAGACATCCATCTTAACATATTTCTTCTGACTATTCTCGTTTTATGAACATGTTACTTTGTTGCCCAACAATTTGTCTCATAAGCATATTAGCTTAAGAACTATTAATAAAAAATTTCCTTTCAGTTTCACCAGTTTCATTGCTANGCATCTTTGATTCCGTACTACTTTCGGTATTTTTAACTTCGTGGTTTCTTTGCTGAAGTTTTCATAAAACATTCATGGTATTTTCCCTTTCAAGCCACAACTCCATAATTGCCAAGTCGTGATTGGTATCTGTCGGGTTGAGTAATCTAACCATCCCTTTGATTAAAATTTTTGTAAGCATCTTGTCAAATAAACCAAAGAAAGCCTAGTCCCAATTATGTTGGGTTGGCTAGATGAATCTTTTATAGTACAAATGCAAACTTAATCTGTTGATAATTAAGTGCTCTTCATTATGTGTTCTATGTGAAACTACATCATTTTTTGCTCTCTCACTCCATGGTAATTTTGGTCCACCCCTTCCTCCAGCAATTCCACTAATTGTAATCATGTTATTCTTCCACATTGATGCACTTATTGTCTTCATTATACATGCCTAAATCATATTAATTGGTTCTCTTGTAATTAATCTTTAGTTAGTACTTCTCTATCGTCTTCTGAACGCAATTATTTCTGCTTCTATCTTTTCTTATGTTATCAGACATCCATCTTAACATATTTCTTCTGTCTATTCTCGTTTTATGAACATGTTACTTTGTTGCCCAACAATTTGTCTCATAAGCATATTAGCTTAAGAACTATTAATAAAAAATTTCCTTTCAGTTTCACCAGTTTCATTGCTACCCGTAGAACGAATAATATGCTAGAGGCACTTTTCTGATTTAATTAGGCTACTATAATTAGGAGCAGCCTCTGAATAATGAACTATTCACTCTTTAGCGTCTCTTGGTTTTCAATATTCACTGCTCTTCATGTCTACTTTGAACCGATATCCAATTTGTAAACGTCATACATTATATAAATTCATTTTGAATGTGTGTAGTCAATTCGTCTATAACTGGAAAAAATATGAGGGCTAAAGATTGATTTTTAATGTAATCCTACGATGATTGGATTTCACTTATATCACCTGCTACTGATATTATTGAAGTCACAACCCTACAATACATGACCTTTATCATCAATGTATCTATTTCTAAAGCCTTTTTTCCCTCTTAAATCCACCAAATAATCTCTGGAAACTGTATCCTAAGACTTTTCCAAAATTCAAAAAAGCAAATTAACATTTTTCTTCTCCTCTCTTTCTTTTCTATTAATCCCCTTTTAACAATATTGCTTCCATGGTTGAGGACCTAGCCGTAAATCCAAACTGATTCTATGAAAATATTGTATCAATTCTTGGTCGATGCTCAATCACTCTCTATTTCAGCATCTTTTCCCACTGTTTATTGTTGGTGAAGTTTCTAAAAACACTTTAGGGAGGTATGTAAGACAAAAAAAGGTGTGAGATGTCATATTGAGTATAATGTATACGAAATGTTGCCATGGCTTGCTGGTTTTTAAGTTATTTATGATCTTTGTTTGTACTTACTACCTACTCTTAAATTGGCTATCTTGACAGCTGCGGGTAAAATACGATTGCTATACTAAGTGTTTGTTTGAATCTATTGTTATGTGTTACTACATCATGTGTGACCTATGATAAACATGCTAAGGATTTGTTGTTCAAGGTTAGTACAGCGTTGATTGCTTGGACTTTGCATCACCAGCTTGTCTACAAGAAAGTTGCTTATGGCCTTTGATTGGTGTAATAGCTGTCCATGTACATACAGAATTCTGTTATGATGTCGCTCACAAACTTATGGTTACCTGTTTTGTGATGACGCCAGCCTCCTTGGGACACAGAAATTGGCAAAAAGTTCATTATTCATTACACTTATGGATGCGACTATGATATGAAGGTATTTTGTTGGCCAAGTTCTTGAAGGTTTGAGATTTTGAAGTTTTACATTAGATTTCAGTAAAAAGAAAACATACTTTCTAATTTTCCACAATGAAAAATTGTTTTTTTGTTTTGTTGTTTTTTTTTTTTTT